AAATGACTCTGTCAAGTCTCTTGCTGTGGTTCTGGTTGTTCTGCGGCTGATGGGTTTGACTGAGGTGGCTCAACTCTATTTTCAGGTGGTAGTGGTGGAGGCAGAAATCCAGGTCGGTGAGGTGGATAGTGAGGGTACGATCTCATTGGGAACGGATTTCTCACTGTGAGAGAATCAGAGTGATCCAGTGAGTATCAATCACAACAGCAAACGCGTACCTGCTCCTCCTGCCCCCTATCTTCTGCTCAGCAATGGCCTACCCCTACAGCAGTCACAACACAGACCTAGATTAGAGGTTGTGCTCTAGAGAGACACAGATGCCAGGAAGGGGGAGGACAAAACGATCACTTTGCTCAGCAGTTACCTGCGACAGGCTGGCAACGTGCTGCTGCTGCCACCCATCACGTCGGGTCTGCTGCAGCAGCCCTTGGCTGTCACAGACACTGTGGAAGGTAACTGTTTAGTTCTTCACAAGTTCATGGGAGAACAGCAGAAGGCAGACTGATACTTACATCTTGCTCCACTAATATAAACTCCAAGGACAAACAATTAACAAATGCATGCCTTTGTATGGACACTAGCATACCTCAAAGCTAAAGGATGAAACTTTAAGATTTATGTATGATGCAACCTCGTAAGAGGAAAAGGATTAAGGTAAGCATCTACTTGCCTTCCTACCTAAAGAACCACCCTTTAAATGCTGCACAGTATGTGCATGTGTATATTCCAGCCAAAGCTAATATTTGTAAAAAGCATTATCAGTATGAGCAACTGTGAGGAAGAAAGTGTACAACGCAATTAGCCTTCATCAGAAAAGATGCTCCCGGTTAGTTGGACTGAGAAGTAGTACATGCAAATAAAGATTTAAGCGTTCACTCAGTGTGACAACTTGCTACCTGCACAAAGCACTCTCATTTATCAGCTTAGAAGTAAGTGCTGGCAAAAGCTACGTACTCGGCAGCGGAGGACGTGGAAGCCCAAAGTCTCGTACTGGAAAACATTCACGTGGTCCGTATATGCCGGCGGGAGGAGGAGGAGGAAAAGGAGGTCCTCGTCTCATGAAAGGTGCTCTGGGATCCACAGGCATCAGTGGAGGTCTGACTGGAGGGAAAGGTGGAGGAGCAAACCCTGAACTGATGGTTTCGCTTTCAGATGCCAGCGACTGCTCAGGTAGCGAGTTCTGCAACACAAGGAAAAGGGGGAAGTCAGCTTAGGGAAAGGGGTAAGGAGAGGGAACATCTCCAGCCCCATCAGGCCCACGCTGACGTAGACCACCACACGAGCTAAGGGCTAGTTCCAACTCTGCCTGAGCTACGGCATAACCCTGAGCAAGGCCAGCTGTGTTCACTGACCATCAGTGTGACCAGAGTTTCATCTTTTGCGTTCTAATTAATTTTCAGCAGGGATTATATTAGTCACATATAAAACTAATTCTCAAGACAGTAAGTAAGTGCTGTGATACATGTGTACATACTATTTCATAATTTGGACTGCACAGAGCAGTATGCGACCAATGTACTAGAGACAGATTTTCCTAAATATTTTGTAGAAAACTAAAGTGTGTTTAAATCAAATTTCTATTTAGCTACTTACACTAAGATTAGAAAGATCTTTCATCCCATCTCCACTTGGTTCTGCTCGTGGGCTATTTTCTGAAGACGTTTGTCCATCTGTATGCAAAAATTAAACAAGTTATTCAGTGCTGACTTCCCTCTCCCCACCAATTTCAGTGTTTTTTCTGAATTCAGGATATAGAGGCAAGAATAAAAAAAAAAAAGTACCACTGTACCAAGCAACTGTTCTGCAGGCAGAATGAAAGACAACTGACAAACACAAATCTATGCCAGAGTATTTTCTCCAAGTTCTGTACAGGGTGCACATGAATTACAAGGTTTCAGTTCTTACCAAAGTTTCTTGTATCAAAATAAGGCTTTTTCCTCCATTTTAGTATTTTTTTTAGAAGTTGAACCCTCATTTGCCTAGCGATACACCTTAACACTATTGTAGCAGTTCCATTTTTCCCCTCCCTCCTGCTATTACTTTATTTCTTTGCTACATCCCACTCTGGGAGTGACTGCACTGTGATACGCTCTTGGCATAGAGCTCAACAGCAATCCTATTAAAGTTTGACAAAAACTGAATCCTTCCATAGTTGCTAAACATCAAGGAGACTTTCAGAACTACATCGGTTCTGGATGAGCATTCAGAAATAAGAATAATCATCCTCATATTTGCTGTGCTCACTTTATAAATTAAGAGATAAATAGGATCTTTGGTGTTTTCACCTTTATACTTCTCTGAGAGCAAGTATTTTCAGTAACAACAGGAGAAAAATATTAACAGGAATTGTCAGTGGAGAATCTGACTGGATATAAATATATACACTAAATGTACTCCTTTCTTAAAAAAAAACAAACCACAAAAAGTAACAAACCCTACACACATAAAAATAACCCACCAAAAAACCCAAACCAACAAACCTGAGATTTGAAAAATACTGCTTGCTTAATCTTCTGCCTGAATAAAGATAAGAATACTACAAACCACAAGGCCAAAACAATACTTCTAACAAGCGACAGATTTTTGATTTTTCATTTATGTGTTGTATTTCTTCTCCTCTGAAGCAAACAAAGCGATTTCCTCAATGAACAGATAGGTCTTAAAAAAATCCAAATTACACAACATTTCAAGCAGGCCCTGCCTTTGCTGAAGATACTGTTACTTAATCTGAAGCATTTTAACTGCTTATGTCATGCAGAGACTATTCATGCCTTGATACTTTTGTTGCCTAACACTTTCCATTTTAAATCCTTGTAAAGTTGCTCACAAACTGTCAAGCTTTAACCCTTCTTTTTGACAAGAAGTTTCCTGCTCCAGGTATCTGCCTCAAGTTTAAGGTTTGTGTAGGGTTAGCCACCTCATCTTAGAATAGTACCTATCATCTTGTTCACTTTAAATAACATTTTGATCATCTTGCTGAGAAAGTGTAGCTCAACCACTCTTCAGAGTTGGAGCCTGGATTTCAGTACTGTGAGACACTGCTGTTCTGAAGTCAGGTGGTATGTGCTGAAGGGGGCGGGTCTGGATTTCAGTACTGTGAGACACTGCTGAAGTCAGGTGGTATGTGCTGAAGGGGGTGGGGGTTTTGGGGGTTTTTTTTTGTTTGTAAAAATAGCAAAAAAACCCCAACAAATTAAAAAATGTCTAGAGAAATTATATGCCTCTGAAAAGCAACATTTACATATGCTTAATTGCCTACTAAATGCTGGCAGCAAGGTTATCCAAAATCCTGTTTCCATTAAGTAGGTTTTGAACTGCCCAGGAACTGAATACAACTTTAAAATTTCTTTTATTGTTGCTTGCCAGCAGCTGAAGAAAAGGGTAAAAATAGATGCAAGAAACAAGTGCAAAGACAGTGCACTTCTCCTGTCCTTCAGTCTTCTAGCACCTGGATGCTGGAAGATAAAGTAGCAGAAAGCAGAAGTGAAACACAGAGAGGCTTGGGAAAGGGGGTAGGAAGGTGAGTGGCTGTATAGGAACAGAATTGTCTTCCAGTAGAGAGCAGTTCCCTGTAAAACCTGAATGTTCAACCTGAAACAGAATTCAGCATTCCCAGTTCTCACATTATGACACCCAAATAACAAAGGTTCTCTCTCCTATTGCCAGAAACTGGGCAACAAAGACAGTAACTTACTACTAATCATACAAGTAACTGAATGCTACTAGGTAGCAAAGTTTCTGTGGTGAGTTTAATGGCTTCAACCTAGCTGATGACTCAGACACATGTGACTGACTAGGCATTAAATAAGGAGGAAAACTGTTTAGTACGTATTAAGGCTTTAAGCTCTTAAACTCTTTCAGTGACAAGGTTTAAGTCACCAAAAGTTTGCCTCTGAGCTTCTGGCTGTTGCTAAGCATCGCAAACTAGAATTTATGTAATTGGCCAATTTAAAACAAATGGTACTTGGGTTAGTGAAATATGTGATTGAGTTGGGGCAAACTGCACTGTGAACTACAGAAAGCTGCAAGTATGGCAAACAGTTTGAAGGAGGCAGCCTCAGGACCTTCGCTGGAACAGGCTGCCCAGAGAGGTGGAGTCGCCACCCATGGAGGTGTTCAAAAAAACGTGTAGATGTGGCACAGAAATGCGAAAAAAGGTTTGTGATATTTTAGTGTTGTGGTGAGACTCCTGGGAGGGGCCAAAACAGACTCAAGGCCAAGCCTGAATGGTTAGCACAGAACAGTGAAGGTGGACAAAGAAAGTACCTCATGACTACCATTCACTGAATCCCATCCACCTGACAGAAGAGACTGCTCTTGTTGGTAACAGGGAAAGACTGCATCAAGGCTAGCAGGTGTTAAAATGTTTTGACACAATGGAACACCAAGTCTTTGGTAGCTATGAAGTTGTCCTCCTACCATGGTTTACTATGTATAGTCAACCTATACTGAGATTCTCCATTTGATTGTATTATGTAAGCAATTCCCACCTGTTTTATCAAAAGACTGCACGCTGTAACTTCGTAGTTCTGCTGGTCCGGAAAGTCTTCCAGTATTTGGAGGATTAGGGAAAAATCTTTCTTGTCTTCGAGGAGGAAGAACTGGATCAGTGTAAGGCTCAACTAACATTGAAGAAATCACAAAACAAGTCAGTGAAGATTTATTCTCCCCATTCCACAGAATTTTAGACCACCAAAATTCTCTGGATATCTTATGCTCTTGTAAATATCCAAAGCAACTATTCATCAGGCTGAGAGAATGATCTTAAAAAAAACCCCAAACATAGGAACCCCACCGAGTATGTACTATAGCTTATCTTTCTAAGAAGCTGCAAAAGAGAAAAGTTCATTGATTTTTGGTTTATCACACAGCAGAATTTTGAAAGTTATGATTACCCAAGTTACAAACAGTGGGGCCTTGAAACAAAGGTTCAGCACAGCAACGAAGGTCAAAGGCAAAACCATTACTATACATTTTAACCCACACTTAGATAAGAGTGCTGTTTCCCATTACATTTCAAAGTGCTGTAATGTGTTTCCACCAACCTCCTTGCATCAGATCTAGCAATCATGCAGCTACGCGACAAACAGTATCAATGAGCCAAGTGCAAAGATGGGGTAAGAACACAGCTCAGGTCAAGGAAACAAGACTACCCCTCTGCAATATCCTGTTAATAGATCAGATCTGGCAAATGAGAAACTGCATCCTGAATGGCCTTTGGATTTTATAATCAGGCTTTCACACAGATGTGTAGCAACTACAATACTGCTTGCTGCGTCTAATAATTGGGGTTCTTTACCCTGTGTACTTTACCTAATTTTTTAGATTTTTTCTAAAGAAGCAAAAATGCTACACGTTATTACAGGTATACAGGAAGGTTGTCCTTCCCCCTGCACCGTTTACTTATCAGTAGTATCCTCTCCGATTCATCTCTGTCTTCCTTGGCTGATAACGTGAAATAGAGAAGTGGAGCTGAAGAACTGAGAGCGAAGGCTGATTTTGATGTTGTTAATTATCAAAGAGGCAGTATCAACGTGGAAACATGTACTGAACAGGATGACTGTACCATGGTACTCCTGTACTTTTTTTTTAAAAAAACAGTATTTTTCAACATTACCTAGCTTTTATTTATTTAACAGGCTAATGTACTGCTACAACTTTCTACTTCCTCAGATCTCTTTATTAATTATCCAGCCCAGACAGGCATTTTGATGCACTAAACAAGCCCCCAGTAAAATGCTGAAACTGAACAGTTAATTGTACACTGCTAGTACCAATATACATTTAAAAGACGGCATAGAAGAACTGCAAGTGAACCACACCATTCAAGAAGGGGAAAAAAACTACTATTAAAACAAAAAAAAAAAAAACAAACTAACTTTCCAGTGCAGTTGCCCATGCAATTCCAAGAAAACATTTCATATTTTTAAGCAAAAAAAAAAAAAAAAAACAACCCACTTAAATATATACACTACAAGTCAAAAACTCCATTTTTCCATAGATACAGTAGCTAAGCAGATTTTTTTATACCTGGTGGAGGCAGAATTATCCTGCGTTCCCTGTCCCAAGGAGGAGACAGGGATCCGGTATCTGACGGTGGTCTGTGAGGATCAGTTAATCTATCAGAACTCAGCTCTCCTCTTTCATTACCAGCTTCAAACATGGCAGTTGGTCCTCTGGATCCTAATCAAAGAAATCAGATAGCTATTTACCCAGTTATTTTAAATCCTCTATTATGGCTTTCTTCATTAAGTCTGAAAATAGTAAAATAAATCATGGAATTTAACTGTCAAGATATGAGAGGCGCATGGCTCCACAGGACTCTCCAGCTGTTTGCTGATGACCAGTTCTGTTTACATAGAAGTGTTTAAAAGGTTGGTTTGGAATGAAAAAGTCTTAGTTCAACAAGAGTGCAATCTAGAGTTCCCGCAATTTAAAAAAAAAAAAAAAAAAAAAAAATTAATGTTAAGAGTTTCAGTTCATTCAAATCAGAGAAACTAGTGCCCTCATGATCAATCTTCTTCTCAGTGCTAAAAAACCTGCTGCTAATCAAACTAAAAAATAGCACACTGAAAGTTAATACCCTCATCATAAGAAAATATGCAAATTACATTCAACGCTCTTCTGGTTCTTTCCAGTTCTTATTCAAGAAAAAAAAAAATAAGAGAAGACCAGGTCAACACATAACCAAGTGCAAGAAAAACCGTAATGATGAGTGATTTTAGGCTGCAAGCTTCCCTTAAAATAAATTTGGTCTGAAAGATGACATAAATACTGAATTCTGGTATCATCCTCTTAATTCTCTTATTGCAAAATTCAACCTAAAATTTGAAGCCATTTTGTGTCATGCAAAGTGAGATGAGCACTATAATTGCTCTGTAGCTGGCATTATTTAAATACATAATTTGTTTAATCTGCCCAAGTTACATTAGCACTGCATTGTGAAATGGACAGTAGTTACGTTGTTGCATAGTCTCTTTCCTTGCTAATACTGCATCCTGAAATCCAGTTTTTACTCTTCCTCACCAGCAACAGCTGAGCTACAATTTAAAGTATACATTGCACAGCTCAGTTTCATTACTTATGGTATCTATACAAATAGTCAAGTACGATTTTGCTTGTGTGTGGTATAGCTACAGTCAATCTCAAGCTTTTTTCTGACTTCAGAAATCAAATCAACTTTCATATGCACCTAGATATGCTTTTTACAAAGAATTAAAGTAAATAAATAGTCCATGCTGGTCTCTTAAAAATCTATGCTGATTAGTGAACTCCTTATAGAAGAGACATTAAGACATATTTCCCATCAAATCAGTACAGGTTTCAAAGGGTGTAACAGTAGTAGTAATTTAAACAGTAGCTTCTTTATTATCTGTAACAGATGCTGAACTCCACTCTAGCATTTATCTACACTACATCATCAAAAGTATGAAGGAACAGTGTTTTTCTTCCCTTATAACTCCTCAATCTCTGCATTTTACTCTTTACACACAATCTTCCTGGGCCCTTTTATCACTAGGGAAGAAACTGTCCCCATGTATGACGACTGCCTCAAATTTAGAACAAAGGGAGGAAAACAATTTAGTGAATCAGTAACCTTCTAGTATTGTGACCCCCAATAAAACCATCTAATGTTTTTGACAATGCAGGTATCCTCTCTTTCTCTCACCAGCTGTAGACCAATGAGATGGAAGTGGTAGTTATTGTTCCTTTGTTTACTTTAAAATCATAAGTTTATTTCAGCACAACCCCATTTGTCCAGTAAATAAAGTAAGACCGATAGTTTGGCTTTCCACTTTTCTCAATCTATGCTTCTAAAGTGAATCTACTGACCAACCCCTTTGTACCACTACTTTTTCCATTGTACTGTTAGACAACTTTAGAAGCAAGTTGAAAAAGAGTTTGTCCAATGAACTGTTTATATTGAATTGGTTGTTTTAATACTTTTTGTCACCAGCAAGAGGAAAAGGTGTGACAGGTTTATAGTAGAGGAGAGAGAAATCCAGAATAGATACATTTTCAAGTTTAAGAATTGTACCTCTTCCTCCTCCTCCACCTGGAAGCATAGGTGAAAGCCTTAAAGGACCCTCCAATAAAGTTGGAGGGGAAAGAAAAGCTCTTGTTTCAGATGAAGGCCGGCCCATTGGTGAGGGTCCATATGGGGAATGCTCTGGAACAGTTAAAACAAAATACTCAAGTTCACAATATTTAGTTTAGCAAACGGTATAAAGTAATTAACTTCTCAGGTGAAGTTTAAAACTAAATTGTATAAGTGAAATGAAAACTGTGCTCTAATTACCATGTGTATCATATTCTCAGTCTACTCTCATCGATACTACAAATGCTCTTCGTTTCAATAAAATACTTGACATGACCTAGAGTCACTTATGACCCAATTATTTTTTTAAATGACTTATTTCTACATACACATGGCTAAGGTAGTTTTGAAACAATTACATATGTGTGGTCTTGGGAAACAAAACCATAAACCAAACCAATTCGGCTCTATTTTACAATTCAATACTGTACCTCTGCCAAATGGTCTAACTGGAACATCAAGAGCATAAGGATCTTTTTCTAAAAGGTCAAGTTTAAATTCTGTTTCAGTTAATCTGCAAATAAACAACAAAGAAGTAGTAAACAACCAAGAAGTGCAGAAGTTTTACTGGACTGCACTGTTTACTGCTAGGCTTTCTACTTAAAGGGTTAATGAAGCAAGCTATTTTATTCCCTAAATAAAAAGAAAAAAAGACAAAGGATATCCCAGAACTCTGAAATTAAGAATTCCTGAAAGTATTTCTCTATGTTGCTGTATTTAAATAGTAATTCAGAAGTTGAAGTGGCATGTTAGATGTCACAATTCCTAGCACAACATTACTCTCATGAGTACTCTAAATTGCATTCTAAGTATTAGTTAACTTTGCACCTAAAGGTTCCTCACAACCACGATGACCTAATCTGTTAGCTCAGTATGGATTTCCAAGATAAGCTGTAAAATCATTAGTTAACCATGACTTCTGGTTGATACATACTTATTTAAAACAAACAGACAAAACCAAAACCTTCAAAATCTTTGAGTTCTAGTACTACATTCTGCTTCTTTCCTGAAACACTTCAGTACTTTACGTAGTTCTTAAGTTCTTACTTTCTTGCATGTTATCATTACAGGAATGCTCAAATGACACCCTTTCTTTTAGAACTCCAATGGAACACTGTGTTCACTCAGCCCTGTTTGGGCATTGGATGAACACAGGTCTAGAAAACTCCAAACTGCATAAACCCAAACCATACTCACATGCCAAATTGCATTTGCTTAGAATTAGGTCAGGAGTGCACTTACTTTTGTCTGTTATGTGCATTTTCTTTTTTTATATCATTGAGGTGTCTTTCAGCAGCTCGGGCTGTCAGCTTTGGGGAGGGACAAAAATCAGATGCTTAGATATGGCTATTTATTAATAAAATGCTTCATAAATGTGAAAGATCCTAGATCCAAGCCATTTTTGTTTTCCTATCTGAATCGTGTGGACTGTATTTTCACAACATATGACTCATGTATAAAGCATATGAATCAGAACCTTACATACGTCACCAAATTACATTAGCAGCTCTACTACCCAAATTTTGAGGAATGATATGGCTTTCCTGCAGGTTCTTGAAACTGCAGAAATTAAGTTCTTTGGCTATAGCTGCTTTGAAGCATCTACAGAGTATGTACAAGATTTAAAGTCTCAGATTTTATATAAGGAAGTTTTATTTTAAAATCATTTAGTTCAAAACTATAAAATTATGACCACAAAACACCATAGCTTTTAACAGGATTCTATCTTACACAGACCATTCTGTGAAACTGAAGAGTGTATTAGTCAGGAGATATTTTAAAGTTTCCTGTTTGGAAAAAAAAAAAAAAGTAAAAATGGATTTTGTAGCAACATTCTTAGGAAGCTGTCAGTGGAACATAGTGTTCTCACAGGACATAATGTCTTCTATTAGTAGATAAAAGAAGTGAAGTACATCCAGGGAAAATATTAAAATGGCATTGAAACAAGGCCAAAAGCTTTTATTATTAGCAAAATGTCACACACTTGTTAAACGGTAACATGTTATTCCAGCAGATTTATTGCTATAGCAAATAATATTGTAATATCATTCTACTGTGCTCATAGGTATCTGTCTTAATTATCCCAACTATCTTACGTGATGAAAGTATTTTTAACATGCTTTTGTGTATTTCTGAAAAAAATCTGTACGCTTAAAGGTGACAGGTTAGTGTTTATTTTGATTATCTGTTTTTAGCAAGAAACAGGAAAGTGATAAAGCAAGCTATTCAAATCACTGAAAAGGAAGACACACAAAGTTCAGAAAATTCAGTATTTGGAACTTACCCAATTATCATGAGCTTTTTTCTCATGCGAAGTAATCTGTGAAAGAGAATTAAATAGATAGTTATTAATCTAAAAAAGAAAACTTAAAATTGAGTATATGCTCTTATTCATAAATTTAATGTGCGTTGATAATTTATAATGAGACATCTGAACCTGAAATTTAACTTTTTCATTAAGTTATCTGATGATCTTTGCTAAGAAATTGTGTCAGTCAGAAACAGATGGCATTCAGAAAGGGGTGGGGGGTGGGGGAAGAGGGCAAAAACCCACCCCACAAAGCCAAGCCAAACACAGTATCACGACCTAGCCAAAAGTGGTATTTCAGTTGCAGTAACATCCCTCCTACATGGCATAGATGGTAAGGAACACAAAGCACATACCTGATTCTGATAAGAACGAATGGTTCTTTCTAGCTCTTCTTCAAGATCTTTTGCTCGCTGTCTGTAACAAAAAAAGGATTTATGACGTTGTAATAAAATGTTGAGGAAAGTAATTTTAAATACAGTAAACAGAAGGTATAATTAAAACTTTTTATCCAAAAGATGGTATTGTCACTTAGGCCCATGGAATACATAAAAATTTTAACAGCAGTAGAAATTCTAGGCCTAGATTAGTGCAAACAGGATGGTAAACAAAAGAACAGAACCAAAAAACCCAACATCTCCCTAACTTCTAAGTGGTCTGTGATATGTTTCCAATATAAAGGATATCTCTCCACCTATGCCCTAACAGCCAGCCTCACCCAGCTCAGCAAAAGTACCAACATGGCTGGAACATGATGTTGTCATGGGCTACCGCAATCAGTCCTGAGGGACAGTCACTTCCACTGAAATTATTTCAAGACCACAGAAAGTACGATGTCACCTTTTCTGCCAGCTGCCCTGTGCACAACCTCTCTAGGTTCTATACTCTCTCAGCAGGTGGACCAAAGACACATGCATTGTTCAGTTATACTCCATTTCCAACATCAATATTCTCTTTAAAATTAAGATGTCTGCAAAGTTCACATTCTCAGTAAATCAAGAAAGGTGAATTCTGTCTTCCTGTATGAATACTGTAGAATGTCTACAAGAACGTTACATTCTAGAGAAAGAACTAATCTAATTAACTCTTCAGGAAGCATTGTTGATCAATATTGTTCAGTTACAGTCAATACTCCTGTAAACACTGAAGGAAGATGGGGAATATACATTACAGATTGAAGAATAATTATGCCATAGTTCGAGAAACCACAGAAACAAACCAGAGGTACACAGCTGGTATAACACAAAACAGAGCAAAGCAGTTAAAAAACCACCACAGAAAATACTCCCACATCACAGTATTTTAGTAAAGAATTTCTAAAGAGTACTATTTGACAAGCTTAGAGATACAGAAATGGAGGACTATAACGATACAACATAGATATATGTTAGGATCTATAGGAAAACTGAACATTGCATTTATTTCACAGCATTCTCAACTTCATATTTTTATCTCTGTTCAGTAAAGGGAACTAGATTAGAGACCCACTTCTACCATCCTATTAAAGCTAACATGTCAATACAATTAGCATTCTACTGGAAGAAAAGTTGCCAGTGATCTTCCGTACCCAAATTATTTAGCAAAGCAAAAACTCCCTTAGTATGTAAGGGAGTTACACACAAATTAGCATGTAACATACACACAAAACAAAGAAACTGGAAGAAAATACATTCACTTATGATGGTGTTTTTATTAATTCTCTGTTGCCTTTTGTTCACTTTGGAACAAGTGATTACAGCAACTAAAATCTGTAATTACCTGTAGCTGTTTAGTTCTTCAGCAGCATGATTAATTTTTTCATCTACTTTAGAAAGCTTTTCTTCCTTCTGTAGGCGTTCTCTCTCTTCTACTGTCAGCTTCCTTTAACAAAATTAAAAAAAATATGGTTAATTCTGTTTCAAAGGCAACAATTTTGTACTTGGTTTGTCAAGAAAAAACACTCCAATTTTTTTAGGTGTGATGAATACATGATATTTATTCAGATAAACAGTTTTATAGGCAACATATGATGTGGTATAAATAGCACTAGTTTGTATTCATGTTACATTTATTCACTGCATTAACTGTTCTATATGAAACATTTAGATTACCACTATTCCTAAAGGAATTTGCAAGACAATCCATATTCCCAAAGAGTATTTCTAATGGTGGGGGGGTGAGGAGGGGTGGCGAGGGAAGCAGCAACCTTTCAGATCAAACAACCTAAAACTGAAACTATGCTAATTTTCAGTCATTTGTTCTGGTACTTTTTTTACATTTTGAAATAATTTTCCAAAGAAAAGGGTTGTTATTAGCTATTAAAAAAAACCCCAGCTATTAAAAAAATTTCTTTCCAAGTCCCTCTTTTTTTATGCCTTATTGGGCACTACAGAAGAGAAACCCCATATTCCAGACCACAGAATATGCACAAGGTAATTCTGCAGAACATACAGCCTGGAATGGATAAACAGCAGTCCTTGGCTATTAAACTGTCTAAATCATGGATCTGTTGAACATGATTTAAACTTCTTTTCTACTCAATCTTCATTTCCCACTTTTCTATTCCCCTTGTTTGAGCACGCCTAGCTTTTTAAAAGATGCCTTGTTAATACTAATAGCCTCTTTTATTCTGCTATCTCATCACATCAGCTTCTCCCCACTCAGTTTTGGCTTTTCTAAAATTTTGATAAGCAGCATACATTGGCTGAGCTTCAGTGTGATATTTTTAAATACTATCCACGCAGTCTGCAAACGTTTTTCCTTTCTGACTGCCCATCATAGCTTCGTTTTAATCAGTTCCTTCCCACTCCTCCCTCCCCGGCCTTTTTTAAAATCAAATGTTAATGTAGTAGGTTTCAGGGGTTTGTTGCATCTACAAGGATGCCAAATATCTATACAAATACGTGTATTACAGAATAGATTATTGAACGTAATTCTTTAAAAAGGTCCTGCATACTGCTCAGTACAGGATCAAGACCTGTGCTGCTTCTCTTGCTGCCTTCAAGATTATGTCTGCTCCTCGAAGAAATAATGTCTGGCTAGTAAAACTGTCATTTTACCATCACACCCTAAAACGATGACCCCTGCCCCTTCCTGCCCCATCCACACACACACACACACATTTCTGAAGGTTACTACAAGCCCCATCCCATTCCAATCAACTTACTTTCTACTCCTCAACACATTTCTGATCTCAATCAGTAAGTGACAATCCCTACTATCACATCCTGACTGTGAGGCAGATAATACAGCCCTCATATTCTATCTCGTTGAAGAAAGCCTGATTCACTGAGGCTCTGTGTTGCCTACTGCTAATAGTTGGCTTGCCTATGTTTTAACTCTAAGCTTAGTTTTATATATAGCATCACTCTTCTGCTGACATTACCAGCTCTCTTTACTATGTAAAATATACTTCACACTTAAAGCAGCAACTTTAATAACTGTATTACACCATATTTTAATTTAATTTAAAAAAATAAATAAAATCAAGCTTTCCAGCTTTACCTACCTTATCCCATAGACTAAAAATTTGTTACTACTTGTTTTACCTTTGCTTCTGTACTTGCTTGTGGAAAAGTCCTAGAATAATATACCACTGCTTTCATGGAAACAGTTTCTATAAAATTACTGTGATCACAAATGCACATGAAGGTGTAACATAACAAGAGTCTTCACAATTCAGAAATCTCTGGAAAGCAGTATTCAAATTTTCAGTAATTTTCAGCAATTTTCATCCCCCCCAAATCAAAGAGGTACATTCAAATCGATCAATAAGCATTGAATATAAAAAGAGGAACCAGCACCTGTGTAGTTTCATTTCATTTTCTTGATAAAGCTCAGTCATTACTTTAAGTTTCTGCTGAAGCTTTTGAACTTCACTTTCAAAACGTTCATTTTCAGACTGCAAGGAAGCTTGTTGGCTTTGAAGGTTTTCTATACGTTCTGTCAAATTTAGAGATAATTATACTGGGACAATGCACAATTTACAAAATTAAATTACTTGCAATATTTTAGTACATACAAAGTCTGTAAAAGCCTTTGGTCCTATGTTGATATTATAATATAAGCAATAATATATTAATATATTTCAGTAAATCATACAAATTGAGAAGCAGTATTACTCCTTTTGATGGGAAGCCAGCAGCTACACTCTCTACCTGCCACAAAGTTTAACAGTTGGACTTGATCTTAAAGGTCTTTTCCAACCTAACCAATTCTATGATTCTAAGTACAGCTCTGAGCACGTATCTAGCCTTTGCTCCAAATTTATAGCTTCTTTGAAAATAATGCAGTTTTGTAATTCGCAGTATAATTTTTCATTTAGGGCTTTTATAATTTTAATTATTCTACTAAGGGAGTAAAATTGGTACCATCACACACTCTTGCAGATTTACTCACATGAGGTCTTGCTGAGTAGCCTGAAGAGATAACTCAGATTCATCAAACTACCTTATCCTTCCAAATTAAAATCGGTCATGTTGCTTTTCCTATTTACTATTCCTATGCATCTCCAAGAAACACAGAAAGCTTCAAGTAACTATAAATGTCTTTATGGGACAGAGCTACAATCAATTTGGAAAACACACTAGCACAAAGACTCACTTTAAAGGACTATCAAAAACTGAAAAATACAGTTTTACAGAGCATTTCATCACCCAGAGAGCAAAGCACAGCACATTCAAATGTGATGGCTACTCTGCTGGCTGTTACCTATGAAAGCAATAATTACAGGCTTTAATTTGAATTAAAGTGGCAGTGTTTTCATTTCATAAGGTTCAATTCAGTATGCCCTACACAACAAAAGAAAAAAACAGAGTAAGATGCTTTCACGTTCAATTGTCTAAATGCAGTATTTTGGATTTTAAGAAGTATTGAACTTGCACCCATTACAAACTAACTACAACTAAGCTATCATTTTTAATTTATTTAAATAAATAAATTTAGATTAGAACTCCATCGTTTCATGTCCAGAAATTATGTAAAGAAGGGATTATTTATTTATTAACATCACTTTGACCATGTATTTTAAGATTCCATAACTTAACAGTTATAGAATACTCCCAACAAAGTACAACAAAATTTGCAAATGGTGCTTTAGCAACGATTATGCATCATTACACTTCAATTGCTTTACCTCTACAATCAAGTATTTAAAAAAATCACTAAGCAACCTAAACTCAAACAGGCATTCTAAAAATGAAGCGGAGCTATTAATGTAAGCTTAATACAGCTTCTACTGGAAGTAATACTTAGAGCCTGTAAAAACATTTTACAAAAGCAGCATCTTATCAATCTTAAAGACAAAACAACATTTAATTACCTGTAAGTTCTCCTTTAGCTTTATTTTCATCAGACAGTTTTGAATACATTTGATCTCTTTCTGTTTCCAGAGTCTTTAAACAAGCATTTAACTACAATCAAAATTTTTTAAAAATTAGCATTTTAAGATTACCAGAAACTGCTTGAATGCAAAAATAACTAATTAAACATTAAAAGATATTGAACTCTGTGATATTGGTATCTATATGCAATTAAACTTACCATAAAAATTGCATATATTCCCTCTAGTTTCCCCCCTTCCATCCAGAAGTTTCTTAAAATCACATACCTTTGCAGCATAGATCAATTTCTTTACTGTTCGTTTTTGCTGATCATCTGATTGACAGAATAGAATAATGTCACATAAAAAACACAAAAAGGTTTGTGACAGAGCCTGCCACTATTACTTTGTTTTTATAAAAAAGTAATCCCCAACATATCATGATAGGCATAGGATATTTGGAGACAAAAAAAAAAAAAAAAAAAAAAAAAAAAAAAAAAAAAGAAAAGCGGGGTGTGGGGGGTACCTATATTCTAGTGCTTTGTTTGCCAATCAACCAGACTCAGAATGCTCATGTTGAAAGTGAGATGCTGAATACACACTGTAAGATTCACTGGGCTGTGCCCTGTGGTATCATCAGCACCGGCATAAAAAGAAGCTGCAGCAAGGAGGAAGAAAGGCTCTTCTGTGCTGCTGTTTTGAGGGGACTGACATCTACCCCCATCTGATTCCAGTGCTACCATGCTGCCTGCAGCAAGTAATGCCTGCATAAGCAGAAATTGGGCTGTAAGGACCAACAGTGCTACTGCTGGGAGGAGCTTCAAGAAGAAATGAAAGCAAGGTTTCCACCTAAAAATATTTGGAGAATCACTACTTAATACTATCGTAGGCTAAAGCCATTCTGCAAGAGACTGAGCGCTGAGTCTCTACGTTGCTCTATGATACTATGTATACTTTAGTTATACCCACACACTGCTCAATAGCAGCACAGGTTGTTATTCTGTAGGTGTCCAAGCATCAGTTAACCGTCCAACATGAATAACACTGGCCAAGTTTTGAAAATCCAACTTCTGCAAAGCTAATCTTTCAACTTTCCTGGAAGTTTGTTAGTTCTGTATTTCTAAAACAACTATTAAATTAATATTTGAGAAGGGAAGCCAGTACAAACCATACCTAAATGCTCTCCATTCTCTGTTTCACCCTTTATATCTGTGTCCCAGTGATTATCTTCAGCATCATCATCTTCTCTTATTGCTGAACTCCAGTCTTTCATCTTCAGTAAGTATTGTGTCAGCGACTAAGAAAAAGCCCACACAAAACACAAACAGTAAAATAAATAGAATCAAAAAAAAAAGTAGTTACCACTACAGTTAAATTTTCAAGATTTCTGTCCTTTATTTTAAATTCCCTTAGAAGATTAAGTGAGCTCCATATACAGGATTCTAGATGTCCAATACTACTTTTTCTATTAAAGCATATACTTGCAGGTCAACAGGTGTGCCCTTGTGAAAACTTTTCAGATAGCCAAGTATGCATCCTTTTAGCAGGGCTTTTATATAAGGTACACACATCATAGAACACACTCCGAACTCCCACGCTCCAAATTCAAAAGAATGCAAATGCTGTATCAGAACTAAGAGTTTTTCCTTATTTAAGGTGCTGGCTTCCGAGGCTATCAGACTGCTCTGTTGTGCTGCTAAGCGACCTTTTTGTTTAGCAGGAGACAAGACACTGGAGGATGGAGACAGCAAACAAAACCAAAACAGCCATTCTAAAAATGAAGCGGAGCTATTAATGTAAGCTTAATACAGCTTCTACTGGAAGTAATACTTAGAGCCTGTAAAAACATTTTACAAAAGCAGCATCTTATCAATCTTAAAGACAAAACAACATTTAATTACCTGTAAGTTCTCCTTTAGCTTTATTTTCATCAGACAGTTTTGAATACATTTGATCTCTTTCTGTTTCCAGAGTCTTTAAACAAGCATTTAACTACAATCAAAATTTTTTAAAAATTAGCATTTTAAGATTACCAGAAACTGCTTGAATGCAAAAATAACTAATTAAACATTAAAAGATATTGAACTCTGTGATATTGGTATCTATATGCAATTAAACTTACCATAAAAATTGCATATATTCCCTCTAGTTTCCCCCCTTCCATCCAGAAGTTTCTTAAAATCACATACCTTTGCAGCATAGATCAATTTCTTTACTGTTCGTTTTTGCTGATCATCTGATTGACAGAATAGAATAATGTCACATAAAAAACACAAAAAGGTTTGTGACAGAGCCTGCCACTATTACTTTGTTTTTATAAAAAAGTAATCCCCAACATATCATGATAGGCATAGGATATTTGGAGACAAAAAAAAAAAAAAAAAAAAAAAAAAAGAAAAGAAAAGCGGGGCGTGGGGGGTACCTATATTCTAGTGCTTTGTTTGCCAATCAACCAGACTCAGAATGCTCATGTTGAAAGTGAGATGCTGAATACACACTGTAAGATTCACTGGGCTGTGCCCTGTGGTATCATCAGCACCGGCATAAAAAGAAGCTGCAGCAAGGAGGAAGAAAGGCTCTTCTGTGCTGCTGTTTTGAGGGGACTGACATCTACCCCCATCTGATTCCAGTGCTACCATGCTGCCTGCAGCAAGTAATGCCTGCATAAGCAGAAATTGGGCTGTAAGGACCAACAGTGCTACTGCTGGGAGGAGCTTCAAGAAGAAATGAAAGCAAGGTTTCCACCTAAAAATATTTGGAGAATCACTACTTAATACTATCGTAGGCTAAAGCCATTCTGCAAGAGACTGAGCGCTGAGTCTCTACGTTGCTCTATGATACTATGTATACTTTAGTTATACCCACACACTGCTCAATAGCAGCACAGGTTGTTATTCTGTAGGTGTCCAAGCATCAGTTAACCGTCCAACATGAATAACACTGGCCAAGTTTTGAAAATCCAACTTCTGCAAAGCTAATCTTTCAACTTTCCTGGAAGTTTGTTAGTTCTGTATTTCTAAAACAACTATTAAATTAATATTTGAGAAGGGAAGCCAGTACAAACCATACCTAAATGCTCTCCATTCTCTGTTTCACCCTTTATATCTGTGTCCCAGTGATTATCTTCAGCATCATCATCTTCTCTTATTGCTGAACTCCAGTCTTTCATCTTCAGTAAGTATTGTGTCAGTGACTAAGAAAAAGCCCACACAAAACACAAACAGTAAAATAAATAGAATCAAAAAAAAAAGTAGTTACCACTACAGTTAAATTTTCAAGATTTCTGTCCTTTATTTTAAATTCCCTTAGAAGATTAAGTGAGCTCCATATACAAAAAAAAAAGTAGTTACCACTACAGTTACATTTTCAAGACTTCTGTCCTTTATTTAATTCCCTTAGAAGATTAAGTGAGCTCCATATACAGGATTCTAGATGTCCAATACTACTTTTTCTATTAAAGCATATACTTGCAGGTCAACAGGTGTGCCCTTGTGAAAACTTTTCAGATAGCCAAGTATGCATCCTTTTAGCAGGGCTTTTATATAAGGTACACACATCATAGAACACACTCCGAACTCCCACGCTCCAAATTCAAAAGAATGCAAATGCTGTATCAGAACTAAGAGTTTTTCCTTATTTAAGGTGCTGGCTTCCGAGGCTATCAGACTGCTCTGTTGTGCTGCTAAGCGACCTTTTTGTTTAGCAGGAGACAATACACTGGAGGATGGAGACAGCAAACAAAACCAAAACAGCTTAATGTATATTAAGACAAGAAGAGATTGTTAGACTTCCATTGAATTCAATGACTAGCATCAGTCTGAATAATTTGATTCAATGCTAGCTGTCATAACTTACCTTGACTTGACTCTCTTTATTTTTCAAGACTTCTTCTGTATCTGCTTTAGACGATTCAAACATCTTAGTTTGTTCATTTAGTTCACCAAATCGTTCATCCCATCCTTCAGCTTCTCGTAAAAGCTAAAAAGGGAAGTACCAGCTTAGCATGATTGCCTATGACAACCATGAATCATGAATGAACAGTACTTGAGCCTGTTTGCATATTACCTATATGTAAGCAGAATTTTAACCTCTCACCCGTCAGTAATAATTAACAGAGATAGACTACAAGACAGTTAAACCTCAAGAGTTGAAAAATAAAGACTTCTATGTTATTGTCCAGTTGCTTTAGCTGCAATAGCTCTCCATTGTAATTAGTTGTTAGGATATTTTTAAACACTTATAAGACCAGTTCAGTTAATATTCCACTCAGTTTAAAAACACTGATGTGACAATAGCAATGCATATTAAATAGTGCCAATTTGTGTAACAGCTACAAACACTGGGGAACGGGTGGAGAGAACACTCATTCCCCAATATGCACACACACTTCTGAAATTGTACCTGAAAAGGTCGGTGAGGTAAGCGAAACCAGGAAGCTTTTTAGACAGCTGTTTAAATTCACATGACTCGCAAAACTATGTTATTTCTCCTACTCTCCCCTCCACACCTCTCAAAGTAAGTTTTAAATTTTATTTTCAGAAAGCTTTCCCATCAATGAAAGTCACAGCAACTGTATGTGCTTAACACCTACTAGTGTGGTTAACTAAAAAGACAGGTAGATTCCAAGGTTACATTTTACAGACATCCCCTAGTAAAATCTCATTTCACAAGAATACTTTACAGCAGCAGTAAAGGGATTAGTACACTTAAGCACCAGTTCATTAAAAATCACCACTGCAACTAATTAAACCATGTCTTCATATTGTAAGAACAAAATTCAACTGATGCAAGTTTCTGTTAAGACAAAATATGCAGCATGGGGTACAGTACAAGAAAATTGTCTTAAGAGTCTGTCAAAAGAATATTGCTTGAAGTTGCACAGCAGGCAACCGATTTAAAAACAGCGAATGTACAGAAAGGAATAACTAGGTTGAGCAACAAGAACGTAACAGCCAGTTAATACTAAAAATAAAACCAGAAAATGGTAGTTAAACAGGGGAACTGCCATGCAAATAGACAAGCAAGCCTGAACGCTACTTATCAAAGTTAAACTAGAAGGCATAAAACAAAAAGTATGTGACAAGAATTGGATGAACCCCACTTGGCATACAACTGCACCTTTCAAGCAGTAAAAGCCATGTATGAATTTGCAGCATCATGCAAACTATGTATTACGGAAAAACCAAAAATATTCTTTATGGTAATACTGCTCAGAAGACAGACACAGGCAACTACTCTTATCATTAAATGTCATCCTCAGTGGAAAGCTAAACTTTAAAGAGATTCCTCTTTCATGAAGCCAAAGAGAAAATAAATTGACATGACTTTATACACCTGCAAGAATTACAATAAAAAGAAAAAGCAAGGATTTGCAATAAGCTAAAGCCGTATATATTTCTAATGTTCCTACAAAAAACAAAGCATAGAAAGTTTGGAGTTCATTAACAGTTCCCTTGTTCAAACTAAAAGGCCCAATCCTCTCTCTGACACATCATAAATCTGAGACAGCACATCTGTTGTAACGTTTAAGCTATGATGTGCCAGAAGATTATGACCGATTAGTGCAAATGGACAGAGGAAGAAAATATTCTAGTTTCTGTGAACAAATAACACCTTTGTTACCTTTTGAGCATAAGTGAAATTCCATCTTTAAAAAAAAAAGTAAGAAAGAAAAATAAAAAAGGAATATGGGTATTCTAAAATAGCAAACTAATTCACATGCTTACAACCACCTCATAAAAGAGAATACAAATAAGCAAAGCAGATACTTTCTCTTCTTTCCTTATCAGGTTCCATCAACTCTTATCATGTTATTTATCTACTAGAAAGCATAGCAAAATACAATATACAAAAATGTTCTAAAATTACTAAAAAACTGCAACAAAGCTCAGTTAACAAAGTATAGTAATTAATCCTAAATAGTGTGCTTAAGAAACTACTACATCCAGGTTATTTTATCTGGAAGGAATGCAAAAAACCTTGTTTTTATCTAGGAACCTGGCAAGTTAATTACATCCTGGGACTTGTTTTTGCTGATTTTTTCCCTGGTTTTGCTTGATACAAAATGATTGCCTATAAAATGTACAGTAATTGTTGGCACTTAGTATTATCTTATTCTAAGTACTGTTTTTTAATAAAAGGAAAGAAAGAAGATTCTTTTCACACACACACACAAATAACTGGATTATTTCTGTTTGAACCCAAGACATGACCAGAGGAAAAAAAAAAATCCCCCTCTTAAAACCTTGCGTACTGTTTCTCAAAATTTATTACATAAGTATACTGAAATTTATATTTTCAATTATTCAATATTCAATTACATTTGAAACAAAGCACTGAGACCAGACCCTTCCTCCTCACAGGAACAAACAAAAAGGATGTGTAGGTAAGACAAAAAAGACTCTTGAAAGAAAATAATTCTCAAGCAACTTCATCTCACCCAAATCTACTGTTTCTCCACTCACTGTAAAATTAGAGAAGAATATGGAGTTTTACTGATAACAGAGTTGTGTAGAACTGAAATATTTCTCCTGCAGAAAATTTTCTATTTACAGTAACTTTTTTTTTTCCTGAATCAGTATCTCTGATATGCACAATTTTTTGAGAGGACTAAAGCACTCCTCAGCTTTTTGGAAGACTGTTAAAAACCAAGAGGTCTGTACTTCTACTCCCCCCCGCAAAGTATCTATCAGGTTACTGTTCAGATAACACTGAGATCATCAGTGAGTCAGGAAAATAAGCACATATCCATTAAAAAAACCAAAACAAACTCAAACACATTCCATGGACCATTTAATGTTCAGAGAGAATATCTTTTTGTTGGGGGGGAAAAAAAAGAATTTCACTGTAAAACAGGACAACTATTGCATATGCTGAACATTTTAAAATAATCAGCATTCTTTGAGATCTGGCTACAGCACTGAGGAAAACAAACAGCTAAAATCTGGGAAGTAACAGTCTTTCCTGTCCCTTTTTATTACTTACCTAACTTTCCATGAATTCATCCATAGTGGTAGTACAGCAAGTTTTTTACCTGCCTTTTGCATACTCTGCAATTTCTTAATTTCTTTTGTTTTCTGGATCAAGTAAAAGCATTTTCTCTCTGTCTCTGTAGTGGATCCTAGCTGTGGACTTGCTCAAATCTTTCTGCTTTCCTCCAGGTCTCAGCAAAATTCTTATTAGTCTTACATTACCATATGCTCTCTTTCTCACTGAACCAAATGGATGTTTCCCCACAAACTGCAATTATAAAATTTCTTTTATAACAGGACTACTTTACACAAAGTTATTCCAACATAAAATAATTTTAAAGCCATGTCCTCTTCCTCATTCCATTTACCAAACACACAAGGGGTATTGTTAACAAGTTGAGGATGAGCTCCTTGGAGAAATCATATTTACATAGTACCGTAAGAAAATATAGTATTTTTAAGGATAACTACGAAGAACCTACCTGTTTCTCACTGTCCTGGAGATGGCAGTTTTCATCTACTGCATCTTGAATGGATGTCTTGAGTCGCTCTGTATTAATCCGATATACTTTTAGGGTGGACTTGGCCTGAGTGAAATAAAAAAGTGTATTGTCTAAATAGAAGAAATAAGTGAGGTCATGATGGTATTACTGGATTTACTCTTAGGTTTTCCAGCTGTGCTATATACGTATTCTGACATTT